CCTGCCGGAGGGGACAGGACTGTCCGTGCCGCCTGACCGCAGCGACCTGCTCCGCTGGGCAGATGGCGCTCCTCCAGCTGAGGCCGCAGCATCGGAACAAAACAGCATTATTTCACCCTCCTTTTCTCTTCGTTTGTTTGTTCATTTAAACGTACACTTAGAACTGCACTTTGTCGGAAACCTCCCCCGTTTTTATCCCCCAGTTGACTGAGGTTCTTACTTTTCGGACATTGAACCCGCTCTGGCGCAGGTCCCGGCCTCGTGCTCGAGCGTGAGAAGCCCCTCTGGTGCTCGGTTGAACAAGGGAATCACACGGAAACGAAATGCAAAAACTGAACTTCGGGGGTAGTTCTGTGCCTTCCAGCATCTTGTACAGCGAATCCCGACTCGTCTTTTTACCCCCAGATATCCGTCTTCAGTAGCGATCGAATCTGCCACTATAAGAATAAGTTCCTTGCATTTATTCCAGATAATCTCGTTTACTCTCCGCTGTTGTTTATGCAAATCGTATAAGGTTCTCTACGCCCAAGCTTGAAAGTGATTTCCCGGGAGACGAGGCGCTGCCCACCCGGAGATGCCGGTATTTGCGGACGAGGAAGATCTTACCGGATTCTTCGCCGTCTCCGCCCTGACGCCACGGCAGCTGCGCCGTCGGGGCGGGGACGGGGGTGCGACATCCCCTGCGGGTCGCCCTGGGTTTACTGGGGGCCTGGGTGCCGCTGGGCCCCCTTCTGAAGTGCAATGCAAAGGGACACCGTGATCGCAGCGAGCGTTTGGGTTTTGTTTTTTCTTTTCGCTTTGTTGTTCTTTTGCAGTTATTAAACCTGTATGCATGGAATTAACCTCTGCCACACGTATACCCTCGATGGGCATTATTACCGTGTCGTGTAAAGGGTCAGTTAGGCAACTCTCAGAATGCGTGTCAGCCTTGTTTTTCTAGTCGTGTTTTTTTCAGCCCCTTTTCAAGGGAAACTAAACGGTGTAGCTGGAGCTTCGTGCGTGTGGGTGCGCTTCTGTGGGGCCGGGCGGGCTCCGGAGGGAGACGCGGCCTCCACGTCGGACATGAGGGAGCCACCTGTCCGTCCCCTGGCACTGTCCCCTCCAGTCACCCCCGCCTCTGCCAGCTGTGTACCCAAACGTCATGGGGAAGAGGTAGACACGCAGTGGCTTCTTGTCCCCAGGAGCCGGGGGGATGGGGCCCTGGGCAGGCCCTGTCCCACCCAGGCCTGGGGGGAGCGATGGGAGACCCAGCCCCCTCCCTGGTGCAGCTGCGGCCCTGCCCTTCCCCAGGGAGCGGGGTGTCCTGTGGGCAGGTGACCAGGTGTGACACCGTCCGACTGTGGAGCCGAGTCGCTCGCCTTCCTCTGCCCGGAGAGGCTTCCCGAAGGGAAACACAACAGCAATAACAATCCACGGGCAGCTAACCCTTCCCGCCTCTGCCTCGCCCG